TTTATTAGAGGAGAAATAATTAGAATTATTCAGACAATTTTATCAGAGGTAGCTTTAGAATACATTCTATAACCTAGTTACCCATGTATACTATCTTATGAAAAATGAAAAAGATTAATGCTAAATAAAAAAGCTATGTAGGGCTGGCTACTGAACTTGAAAAAAGGAACCAAACAAGATAGGGATATATCACTTGATCGGTTAATGATTACATAGCAGACTAAGCTGTCTTGACTTCACACGAAAAATGAAATCACTATATTATTGGCTTCCGCTTTGGCAAACCAAATAGAACCAGAATTTCTAATCATAAAATAGTCATGTTTTATAGGGCCTAATTCTTTACAGTAGGTGTCTGTGACTTCTTGGTGATAAATTTCAACAATGAACAGACAGCAAACAATCCATTTGGTTTAGAATAATATATTCAAAACAAGTCAAACGTATGTACAAAACTTCGTTACACTATTGGTTATCCCAGTGGTGTCCAGAGCTTTAAATAATTGTCTCTTTTTCATCAAAGTCCACACAGGCAGGTTCAATTACTTTAGAACAGAATTTGACAAGTTGAATTATTATCCTCAATCTCTGTTATAACAATATAAGCTGTAATTATTTCACTTAAAAAAAAATTGCCACTATGTGCTCTTTATGGTTAAACTGACAATCACGCAGTTTAACTTCACTTTTACTTTCATTAACTCACACAGAAAATAAAATCCCTACATTACTGGTTTTCTCACTGGCAAACCAATGGGAAATTTCCAATCATACTTGCTCTCTGTATCTGCATGTATTTATAACATGCGACAGAAAAATCTAGAAACATCTAGCCCTCTAATAACAATATGACATTAATGAAAAAAATGTAGTAGCTTTAGCAAGATGATGTTAACAATATTACAAAAGCCTAGTACAACAATTAAAGTACATACACAATGTATGACTCGTACACAGATACATAACGAAACTTGTCATACTGTATTCTAATTATTATCTTTCTTACTATTTGTTTTATTTCATTTATATATCTATATTTCTTGAGCAACCACCTTCCCACTTTTGACTGCAGACAGCGAATTGGTTTTGAATTTCGGGCAAAGCTACACGATGGCTATCTGCACTAGCTGTTCCTAATTTAGCAGTGAAAGACTCGAGGGAAGGCAGCTAGTCATCACCACCCACCACCAACTCTTGGGCTACTCTTTTAACAACAAATAGTGGTATTGACCATCACATTATGATGCCCACACAACTGAAAGGGCGAGCATGTTTGGTGGGACAGGGATTCAAAACTGCGACCCTTAGATTGTGAGTCAAGCATGCGGACAGTGAAAGGTGATAAAAATGAGGGATGTTGTGGGCTTGAGCATCCACATCTACTCCTTTTCTTTTTTTTTCTTAAGCATGTGAGGCTGGTGAAGTTGAGGTTGAACTGGATAGATGGTATACACCCATGCAATTTGGGGCTTACTCCCACTCATACCTCAAAAAACCAGGGCACATTAGATGATAATCAAACCTATGATGTGTGTCAAGATGTTGGATATTTGTGTTGTGGCTGTTTTTTCAAGTATATTTTTCTTTTATTTATTTATTTTTTTCCGTCTTTATAAAATTACATATACAAGAAAGTTGAAATTAAAAGCAAAGATTGAAAACATATTTAAATATTTCTTTCTGAAATCAAGAAATTAAAGCTTAGATAATATGAAAATTTATTTACAAATTACACTTTGATGCCAAGTTCATTGAGATGTATTAATAATAAAGTTAATTAAATTTTTAATTTAACTCTGTAAAAAGGTTATGAGAAGTGCACTTTGATTCACATGTACACATAGGGCTAACTACTACTAGAACTATAATACTTTGTCAAGTTTATTCCTCTTTAAATAATAAATATTATAAGCATTAATGTCATTATGGGAACAAAATCTCTTACTGGTTTAATATTTTCTTTTTTATAACAGATGTCATTGTCATTAAGTTATGTAAAGCTCTTTTTATAACAAAACTTGAAACCAGAGCTATAGAAAACAAAGATGTTAAGGAAAGCAATTATTACAATAACGACTAGATAATGTATAGTTAGGATAAAAGTACGAAAGAATAAAGAATTTCACTAAAAATTGAAAAAGTAACTTAAATTTTGTTGTCATTTAGTTAAAAATCATAAATCCTGAAATAACTGCTTTTAGCTAAAAATGCACTCCATAAAAAAATATAATTATGTCAACTGGAATTTGATTAAAACCTTTTTAAAATGTTCATTTTTATTTACACAATGCACATTTTTATATAAAAGACAACTTAGAACACCAAGTATTTCCAATACAATATTAGCTGTAGACTCAATACACAACAAAACCAAAAAGCCATTACACAAACTATCAAGTAACTACTGTGTTACCAGATTAATATTTTGAATACAATTTGAAACCATAAGACTTAGCT